TCGGGATGGGTGTGTCAGAGGCGGTGCGGTTGGCGCAGGATAGAGCAGGGTTTAGGGCTGTTGTGCATAGGGTCGCTATGAGTCGGAAATGACTCGACGGCACATAACAACAACAACAACTACTTTATGAAGAAGAGTGTCACATCAGGATGGGAGGAGACTCATTAACAACCTGCCTTATGCAGATAATACAACCTTGCTCATTGAAACTGAGAGGACTTGAAGCATTTGCTGCAGAAGATCAAGGACTACAGCTTTCAGCATGAATTACATTTCACTCTCACCAAAAAAAACCCCAAACACCCTCACCACAGGACCAATAGACAGCATCATGATGGATGAAGGATTGAAGTTGTCAACATTTTAATCTTATCTGGATCCATAATAAACACCTTTGGCAATAATAAATAATAAACACAGTCAGAAAATCAAAAGACTAGTTCATTGGGAAAAATCTGCTTTTGCTTTCTCCAAAGTGCTAAAGAATAATGATATCAGTCTAAGGTGCACTTGATCTAAGCCATGATCTTTTCAATTGCTAGCTATGCATCTGAACACTGGACTAAGGATGGCAGAAGTAGAATTGATGCCTTTGAGTTGCAGTGAAGGAAAAGAGTATTGAAGTACCATGAATTGCCAAGAGAACAATCAGGTCTTTCCTGGAGGAAGTGAAACCAGAGTGCCCCTTGGAGGCCAGATGTTTATGTGAAGAGTGATGAGAAAGATGCTCATGAACAGGGGATAGCTGGCTGGGGTGTGCGGACAAGTTACATTCTCAGCGGCCTTAACTGTGAAATGTGGGTATCGAGCTAGGAGATGCTGATGTTTCTGTCAGAGAGGTGTAGGAAGTGAATAAATAAGGAAACAGTGTGACAGACATCCAGAACTCCTCTAGGACACCACTTTATCCACACTCTATGTAGTTGAGGGATCTTCCTCTCAAATTTTAGAGACAGAAAGTAACCAAGTTAACTTGGAATGAGATTGAGCTATTTTTTCAGTTATTATGGAGTGCCCTTACATATTGCTGTTGTTGTTGTGTACTGTAAGGTTGAAACTGACCCATAGCTGACCTTCCGAGTGGGTTTTCAGAGGCAGTTAATCGCATGGGAGATTGCCCGTTCTTCTCCTGCCATTGTGTGGTAGGTTCTGCGAATAACATAAGGCCCCATCCTCATTCTGATGGGGAAAGAAAGTCAGTCAAAAAGTAATGATCCATCAAATGTCCGTAAACAAACGACTGGATTGAGAAATGTGGTACATTCACATAATGGAATACTATGCAACAGTCAGGAGTAATGATTTTGAAAACTGTTATATAACATAGGAGAGGCTAGAAAGCATTATGCTGCATGAATGAACGGGCACAAAAGAATAAATACTGTATAAGACCCTTATTGTAAAAACAGAGGGTAACCAGTAAGATGTGTATGGATATCCAAAGAGGGGAGAAGGCATGGGGGCTGAGGGTGGAGGGGAGGGGGAATTACAGGATTGCAGGGCTTGGTGGGTGGAGGGAGGGCGCACAACCCTCCCCCCCAACAAACACAATGTTCATGAATGAAACACAATGTAAACAAATTATTGTATGCAAACCAATAATAAAAGATCTTATTGAACAAAGTAGATAGAGGGCAAAATAGAGCATATAATCATGCTTTGAAGCATCTTAGAATGGTGACACAGGAAGAGTGCTTTGAGGAAAGAATTTTTAAGCTGTAAGACCTGAAGGGCAGGAAGGGGCTAGCCTAGTTAGTGAAAGGCTTAGAAGGCCAGTCAGGCTGATGGGGCTTAGCTGCAGTCTTCCTCTAGAGAGGAGTTGCTTTTCACTTCCCAGACATCTTGAGATCCTGGAGAACTGGAGAAATCTGAGGTTAGTAGTTGCGGAATGCTTGCACAACAGTAGGACTGTTGAGGCAAAGTCAAAGTTCTTAAGCAAAGCTTCCAGAAGGGGGTCCCTTCCTGTTGGGAAGACAAGAGAGCTTTAGAGGATGATGACAGTAACCAATCTGGAAGACAAGTAAGACTTCCTTTTTTGTAAAAATTGTGGCAATTAGTAGCATTTACAGGCGTGTTAAACAAAAAAGTCACTATGAATCAATCTGACTCCAAAGCACCCTATGTGTTTCTGAGTAGAATTTTCAACAGACCTTTTTTCCCATGGGTGTGACTTTTCACACACCAATCCTCCTAAAAGAATACTCTCTTTAATTTACAGAGAAAAAACACCTGTCTCCTACTCCTTTCCGTAGTGAGTTTCAACACTTTGCATCTTGATTAAGGAAGATTCCAGTAGAGATACAAGTACTTGAGCCATCGTCTTGTTCCAAGGCCCCAGAAGGTTCTCGCTTTATGGAGTGAAAGTAATGGGCAGCTCCACTCTCTTGATAGTCTAATAGCAGTTTTCTAGTCCTTTAAACAACAGAACTGTTATTTGAGCAACTTTTTGGGTAAGAATTTAAAAGCCTTTGAACTACTGTTAAGTTCTTCTATTGTAAACTCATTGCACACTCTCCTGTCCAGTCATCTCCTCTTGTAAACTCAACTCAGAGACTTTTGGTTCTGGAAAGGTTTTCTAGGTTTTAGGACAGACTTGGAAACCTTTCCCCTCCCTACTTGCTTTTCTCCCTTGTCAGAAGAAAGAAGTCCAATCTACAGAGAGTTAAGAAAGAGCCCAAGGACTGAGCTAGGGGGAACCTGTTCCCTAAGTTAGAACTTAAAGCTTGATGGTATCTGGCCCACATTCAGCTTCCAACTCCATTGCTGGGTCTAAGGATGACAAATCTATGGCAGTGAGTGAGATGAGGTCATTTCACAGGGGAAAGATGTGCAGTTTGCCTCTGGAGAGACTATAGCCTTTGGAACCAGGTGGGGCAGCTGGGCTCTCTCACCAGGAACTCTGAGCCAGAATCCACTCGATGGCAGTGGATCTTAAAAAATAACCTCAAATCATTGCAGTTGAGTTCCTTCTGACTCATGGTGACTCGTGCTATGGAGTAGAACTGTCACTGGTCATAGAGCTTTCTTACCTGTGGTCTTCAAGGAAACGTTTATTCCACAGTAGTTGAGTCACCAGTGTTTAGTCCAGCAGTTAAATGACTGCTCCTTGGAGCTGAGAATGATAGAATGATAAAGGCCTGGGGATGCTTAGTAGAGAGTCAGTGACAAAGACCTTCAATGAGCTGTGCTGACGTGGTTGTGACAGCATCACCGTGGGGGTAGAACTGGTGCTGTCTGGGAAGGTTTCTAGCAATCAACTTGACAGCCCCCAACAGCAGCTGAGTGCAAACCGTTTGTGCCATCCAGGGACCTCTGCGAATACCCTCATAAAGTTAAAGTTCAACTTAAAGTTCTCACTGGAAAGTAAGAAATGAGTCGTCAGAGGAGGTGCAGCCCAGCATCTCAAAGAGTATTAATTCCGCCTCTCTTTGCTTGCCCTTCTGAGAACTGTCATCTGTTCTAGAGGCTTCTGGTGGTTCAAGAGAACTCCGTGTGGTGTACAACTGCTCCAGTAGGTTCGACTTTACACAAAAAAGGGGCTTCAGAGGACTATGTGGTTAAGAAACAGTAGGGATGTTGCAATTGGAGGGGTGGAAGAAAGGACAGATGGTGGATTTTCATTCCCAACACCTGGAACTGCCTTGACACTAGAAAACCCAGAGACCACATGGATGTTCAATAGTGTCAACTTAGTCAGAGGGGCGATGTGTCCAGTCTCTGAGGCACAGTTGAGTGCAAAAAAAAAAAAACCAAAAAAAAAAAAAAACGAGCCGAAGGGACTCCAGCGCCGGGTTTAAGCCTACAGCCCACGCCTCCAGCCTCTGCCCGACGCCACTCCCTCCCCGCCAAGAGGCTCTTGGCGCTGGAGGCGGGACCGAGTTCTCGTGGCCCTTGGAGGCTGTGGGCCGCGAGCTCCGGCCGGCGGGGAGGGGACTGCGGGGAGGGGCGCCGCCCGAGCGAGCCAGCGAGGAGGGGTCCTTTAAGAGGCTTGCCCGGGCCTGGCTTGCGCGCGGCCAGAGGCTGGGCTCTGAGCAGCTGTGGGCGCTGCAGCCAGCTCTCTGCGGCAAGCCTTCGCTTTTGCACTTGACAGCGACCACACTCGGGCGCGCTTGTCCTGGAAAGGCACAGGTAGGCGGCGCGGGCTGCCCGGCGCACACGCAGGGCTCCGGGAGGAGTCCCCGTTCTTCGGTTCTCCTTTCTAGGAATCGCGGGCAGTCCTCGAGGGCTGGCGCCCCGGTGGCCGGCTGCAAGGAGCGGGTGCCCACGGTCGGGAGCGGGCCGAGCCCTTCCTGGAGCCGCGGCCGTGAGCAGCTCTGGCGCCATGCTTCTGCTGGGCATCTTAGCCTTGGCTCTCGCTGGACAGACGGCCAGGGGCTCTGAGCCAGAGCAGGAGGTGGTCGTCCCGATCCGCCTGGATCAGGACATCAACGGCCGCCACTACTACCCGCGGGGGCCAGAGAACGCCGGTGACCAGGGCCTCATTGTTCAGATCACAGCGTTTCAGGAGGACTTTTACCTCCACCTGATACCCGATGCTCGCTTCCTGGCGCCTACCTTCGCCACAGAGCACCTAGGTGTCCACCTCCCAGGTCTGACCGCGAGCTTTCCGGATTTGCGACGGTGCTTCTACTCTGGCGATGTAAACGCTGAGCCGGGCTCTTTCGCCGCGCTGAGCCTGTGTGGGGGGCTCCGCGGAGCTTTCGGCTACGGCGGATCGGACTACACCATCAGTCCGCTTCCCAACGCCAGCGCGCCAGCGGCACAGTGCAACAGCCAGGGCGCGCATCTCCTCCAGCGCCGGGCCGCCCGGGGCAGGGCCCCAGGAGACTCGACCTCCCGCTGCGGAGTGGCCTCCTCGGGATGGAACCCGGCCATCCTACAGACCCTAGACCATTATAAGCTGCGGCAGCCCAGCTTAGCGGAGGGTCGCCGCGGGCGCAGGGCCGGGCGAGCAAAGCGCTTCGTGTCGATTCCGCGGTATGTGGAGACACTGGTAGTGGCGGACCAGTCCATGGTCAAGTTCCATGGTGCAGACTTGGAACATTATCTACTGACGTTGCTGGCCACTGCAGCACGCCTTTACCGCCATCCTAGCATCTTCAATCCCATCAGCATCGTTGTGGTCAAGGTGTTGCTTCTTGGGGATCGAGACACTGGGCCAAAGGTCACCAGCAACGCAGCCCTGACGCTGCGTAACTTTTGCGCTTGGCAGAAGAAAATGAATAAAGTGAGTGACAAGCACCCCGAGTACTGGGACACCGCCATCCTTTTCACGAGGCAGGTGAGTTTTTGAGCCACCTCTGATCTAGCACGACCCAGACACCTTTCAGTAACTGCCCCACTCAGCTCTCCAAATCTCTTTTGTGTTGCGCAATGCTCTGACAGTTAAGTTTCCTTGATCTCTTCTAAGTCTTCCCTTGGAGATTCCAAAATGGGCCTGGCTCAGTGGCGCTATGACTCACGTGCATCAGAGCAGTTTGGATAGCCTGAGCTTTGAGAAGGTGTTGGCCTCGGTCAGCCAATCAATGCCTCCTGGATCAGGCACCCCCCCCCCCCCCGAGTCCAGGAAGAGCTGCAATGTGTCACCAAGGTCGATAGGAGGCACTCGGAGGATAGTGTTGGGACGGGCAGGAAAGGCCCGCCCTTATTGAGTTGGACGTCTAAGTCCTCTTAGACATTTTCGCTGGTCTTCTTACTGGCTGTGCAACTGGACGGTAATCCAGGCGTCCCGGTTCGACGCCCTGACAGCTTTATTGCTGGTAACATGTCCAGTTATCCTTTCTCTGTCTTGGGAAACCTTGGATTGGGAAAGAGAATTGGGAACATTTTGTAAGTTCTTGTGAAAGAAGAAATTTAAGTACTGGAGTGGGATGGAGGGGGCATTCTCACCTTAATTGCTGTCGCTTGCACATCTGTCACAGGTTTTGTCTTGCGTTTTAGATGCTACTTGGTAGTACACTTATGTTGGTGTGTAAGGCTATTTTCATTAGAGTTTCCAGAAGGGCTTTATTTGGAGGTGAGGTGGGGAAATACCTTACAGCTCCCCCATATTCCTTTTGGTGGAAGATGATGTGTTTACCCTGCTTTATATTACACGGAGAGGAGGCCAAGTTGCTCATACCCTCTATTTACTAAAACTTAAGGGCAAGTTTTGAGTTTTAAACCCAGGGTGTGGGCTCAGCTAAGACGTTCAGGAGACTCCACTTGCAGTTGGGAAGCCTAAATATTGCAGTTCAAAAGACCGATAAAACCAGCCAGGCAATCTGCTTTTAACGGTTAAATGGTGTGGGCTGTGAAGTGCCTAGTCTGGCACCTGTTTGCTGGCACAAGAGATGTCTTGGGAGAAGGTTGCCAGGATCATCAAGCCAAGACCAGAGGCACTTGTAACATTACTTCAAACCCATGAATCAGTGCATGTTTAAGATTATCCATGCTGGAGTGATTGGGATTGTAAAGTCTTCGGTTTCTTGAAATTTCTCAGATATAGGAAACTAGGAGAATCCAGTCCATCTCTTTTGGGGGTCTGTGACTTGAATCTATGCCATGTCTTGTTTTCTCATTATTGTAACCACAGCATTTTGGGTATGGTACAGAAGGCCTGGTTACCTCTAAGCTGTAAAGAAATCTCCATGGTTTCTGAATGGGCAGTCAGAGCTGGGTGGTGCACAGGAGCTAGAACTGGAGCCTCTACAATAGCCCATTTGGCACAGCCAGTCCCTTCCTTGAGTTAGACTTCCATTTCCCAGCCTTCTCCTCCCACCACCTGGCTTCTCTAGGGAGGTCTTTGGCCTGCGTCTGTTTCCTTCCTCTCATTCTTCCAGCTGAAGTCTGTAGAGCTCCCACCGCCTGCCTGCCTTATCATGGAGACTGAGTCGTGGGGAAAGGACAAAGAAGGTAACTTTGGTTGCAGAGCACAGAATTGATCTGCAGTTGGATTGCTGGCTGAAAACAGGATGTATTAATGGGCAAAATAGCTACTACTTGGGAAGCCGAGATCCTTGAGAAACCCTGTGGAGATCACCCGTTAGCTCTCAAGTAACAGACTCCTGTCTCTGCTGTTGGTGGCCCAGCTAAGTCTTTGGAACCAGCCCTAGGAAGGAGTCTTGTGCTGAAAAGATGGGCCATGCAGCCAGAATGATCTGCTGTTTGGAGAAGAAGAAATCAAACCATGTGAATACTTCCATTTCTCAGTACTAAACTCCATGGACTGGCTGTCCAGACATAATGGGTAGAAGATGTACGGCCACTTGGCTAGAAGCAGTGATGTACCATGAGATACCATGACTTTTAGAAGCTGCCTGGTCCTTCAGAGCCAGGAGAGTGAAGAGGTTGCTGTGCTGGCAGGCCTGTCCTCCAGGTACGTGCTTTCTGTTGGACAGTAAGTGTGCATCCTCCACCTCCTTACCAGCACAGATGGCAGGGCTTGCCACACCCACGGAGGTTGAGGAATGAAAAGTTACCCAATGTCAGGGAGAGGGACAGGAATAGGGACAGGGGCAGGCACAGGTGTTCAGTGGGAAGACAAGTGTCCTACCTGCTCTTTCCACCTCTGCAGACCTGCTTTCTCCAACATAACAAAAGGGTTTTGCTTTATGTTGAAGGGACCAATAGTGATCTCTTAACACAAATGAATGAGCTAGTGTGCTTAAACCATGTTTATTATCATGTTAGTATAAGCGATGCATGTTCAAGTAAAAACTTGAGATTATATATATATATTGAATGGTTGGCCAAAAGAACATACAAATCTGTAAAACCAAGGAAGTGAAACCAAGGCACTCCTTAGAGACAAGGATGGTGAAATTTTTGTCTCACATACTTTGGGCATGTTGTCAGGAAGGGCTAGTCCTTGGAAAAATGTAGAAGATAAGCAAAAGAGAGGAAGACCTTCAACAAGAAAGATTGACACAGTGACTCTAATATTGGAACATATCAGAGATGGTGAGGACAGTGCAGGATAGGTCAAGGTTCAGATCTGTTGCTGTGAGTCACACCCAACTTTATGGCAACAAACCACCACCACCACCACCACCTATTTTAGAAATGATTTTTTCTCTGGAAGGGATCCTGAACTGATGGGTGCTTCCCTGAGGCATATGAGATGTGATCCATGACTCTTCTGGACTGATGCGGCTCTCACTGCTGTATAAGGTCTGCCTTGCTCCAACTGCATTTTCTCCTGGGACAGAAATGAGAGTGGCCACCGACCAAATTCTGGGCATCAGAGGTTGCTGGAGAGAAAGCAGCCTGAGAGGTGTGTCAAGAGTATGTGCGCACTCTCCCTGACAGGTGCTGTGTGTGCAAACCAGTCTGGGCTGGGCTTGGACCTAAGCTTGGTAGGTGGAAGGAGGGTTTTGAATGTTGAAATCCAAACACCAAGAAGACAAGACCTGGGGAGAATCCTAAACTATTTTGAAAGGAGAAGACATTGACCATATATCAAGTATTTTGCCAATTTGAGCCAGGTTAACAATTTCAGCTTGCTCAGCTCCACAATCTGTGTTCTTCACACCAGGATTTAGGAAATCAGAAGGCAAATTGCATTGGGGATGTCTGCTGTCAGGGACCTTTCCAAAGTGCAAAAGAGTAATGTCAGTCTAGGGACTAAGGTGCGCCTGAGCAAGGCCATGGTCTTCAGAATGACTTGCTATGCATCAGAGAGCTAGCTGGACAATGACTAAGGATGACAAAGAATAATTGATGCCTTTGAGTTGTAGTATTGGAGAAGAGTATTGAACATGCTGTGAACCACAAAGAAAACAAACAGGTCTGTACTGGAGAGGGTGAAACCAATTTTATCCTTAGAGGGATTTGAAGCTCCATCTCACATTTTTTTGGTATATGGCCAGGAGGGATTGGTCCTTGGTAAAGGACATTATTCTTGGGAGGGTGGAGGGATAGTGCAGGACAGGAAGACCCTGGATGAGACAGATTGATACAGTAACTGGGATAATAGGGGTAGATGTGTCAGATACAGTGAGACTGGCTCAGGATAGAGTAGGCTTTTTGTACATAGAGTAGCTATTGTACTAGGGTTGTTATGAGTTTCAGGTGTCTCGATGACACATAACAACAACAACATTTAAAAGTTTACTGTAACGTCATGACGAAAGAGTGTTCAGCTGATTTTTTTTTTAATACACTGAGCAGCCTACAGGTAGCAGAGTAAGGCCAGCACAGGATTAGAAGCAGGACCTGTGGAGAATTCAGCCATTATTGCTCTAGGTGGACACTTATTTCTGTGAGGAGCAGTTTCTGTGACTTCTTGCTGCACCAGACAGAGGGAGGCAGATATCTCACTCTATGACTCAGTTGAACCTCTCACTCTAAGACTCAGTTGAACCTCATTTCTCTGCATCTTCTCTCCCCTCAGGCCCAATGTCCTTGCTGTTTTGGTAACTCTTTGTGGTAGACTGGCCTTTATTCCACATGCATAATTCTTTGCTAAAATACGTATGAGCATCTGTGATTTTCAAGCACTCTCCTGGGAGAAAGGGTTCTCCTTTTGAGAAGAAGTGGTATATGATTATTCCCTGGCTTGTAAGGTAGTGATTCTTCTCCTTCCTCTCCTCATTTCACCAAAGAAATCATGCCAGCACTAACACGGAGAGTGAGGAGGAAGGGCAGAAGGAGGAATGTGTGCTGGCATTGATTTCTATTTTATGTGAGGCCAGGGGGCAAGTTTTCTCTTTTGCAAACTCTTTCTCTTTCCTTTCCTGTGAACCTCTCTGGGGTTTTTGTGCATCAGTCTTTGACTCTCAGCTTCACTTCACCATATTGTTGCCCTCAACAGAAAAAGAAGACAGGCTTGAGGCAGGCAGTATTGAATTTGAATCCTGCTTTTAAACTGTTTGGCAATGAACACTGAATTAGTGAGCTGTTTGAAATTGACTTTCTTCATTCTGAAAATAGAGATTATGATGATGATGCTTAAATGTCAAGCCTCTGGTAAGGATAAGCTATTTAATGTTCTAGATTAGGCACTCAATTAATGGCAACTATTATTTTCTTAATGGGAGAAAGATGGGCAGTCTCCTCTTGTGCAATTTACTGCCTCTGACAGCCCGCTGGAAGGTCAGCTGTGAGTCAGTTCTGATTGACGGCACACAACAATAACAGAATGGCAAAAACATTATTACCTTCAATTTTAAGAGGATATCATGTTTGGTATAGAATATAGGTTAGTGGAAAATGAGGAAGACCCTCAACAAGGTGGATTGACACAGTGGCTCCAACAGTGGGCTTAGACAATGAGGTGAGGTTGGCCCCAGACCTTGTTGT